GTGGGTGCAGTGATGGCTGCCGTGGTTGTGGTTGTGGTGGTGGTCGTGGTGGCCGTGGGTGCAGTGATGGCGTGGCACCTGACTCTGGTGTCGCTGCATCTTTCAAACGAATACCCAACAATTCACACTGACCCGTTGGACGTTCCCCTCTCACGCATGTATGCGTGCATTGACAGGCGGCACTTGCACGGTTTCAGCCGCTGCGGTGTCAGGTGATGCAGTTCACCATCGACCCCCGACTCAGGACCCAGGTGCGCCTCTCATGACATGTCTGTGTCTGTGTATCTATGTGTGCGTGCGTGTGTGTGTGTCTGTCTGTCTGCCTCTGTGTGTGTGTGTGCCTGTCTGTCTGTCTGTCTGTCTGTCTGCCTCTGTGTGTGTGTGTGTGTGTGCGTGTGTGTCTGTCTGTCTGTCTGCCTGCCTCTGTGTGTGCGTGTGTTTCCGTTGAGTGCACAGCACCGTCCTCTTCCTGCGAAAACAACGATCACAATCAACATCTCCATCCACCCACTCACCGCCTTTGCGCGTTGTTTCCCTTTGTTTTGCAGGAGGTTGCTCGCTTGGTCAACGACTCAAACGCCCAAATCGTCATTGCACCAACCGCTATCCCCCTCCAAGGACGGGTGCGTGCATGTGCTCGGTTGCGAACACCAGTGCACCGTATTTGTACATGGGCTTTGTCACTATCAATCACTCACACAATGCCCATCAAACGCACACGCAACACACCGCACTTCCATCACACGCGCGCGCAAACAAACAAACTCACGAACTAACTAAATCACAAACACAAACACAAACACAAACAAACACAAACACACATGTACCACCCACCCCCCTCCTTGCAGCCTCGGGAGTGCCGTCTGCTGCGGGCGGGCGAAACGCACACGATTGAGCCCGAAACCCCGCTCACCGTCACTAGCGCACTCATGGACCCACAGGTAATTGTTGCTGCTGTTACAGCTGATGGCGTTGTTACTGTCGTTGTCATTGCGCCTTTCTGCATTGCTGGTTGTTCACCCCCTTCCTTTGCCATGGTTGATGCCTGCGCATGTGAGAGTGAGAGTGAGAGAGAGGGGGCTCACCGTCTTCCTGGCAATGCCATGCGCTGTTCCTTCCACCGTTTGCAGTTGCTAGCGCGGCTGAAACCAAACCAGACCCTCACCGACGTTGCTGGCGTCCTATCTGTGCGTACATCCGTCTACGTTGCTTGTGTTTGCTGGTTGCTGAGGACTGTCGATTCGAGACTGCCCACTGCCAACCCTCGTGTTTGTACCATCGCCACTGCTACCATACACAAACACACACACTCACACTCACTCACACACGCACACATACTCACTCATACCCGCTCACTCACCCGCTCACTCACCCGCTCACTCACACTACATACGCGTGCAAACACATCTTCCTCCTCCTTCCGAACATGTCAGGTGCGGGACTACGAGTACCTGCTGCGGGCAGACGATGTGCACCACCGCGATGATGACCAACACCCGGCAAAGCGGCCCCGCCGACCGTCGCTGGCTGCCCTCATCGCTGCCTTCCACATGGTGCGTCAGATTTGTATGTATGTATGTATGTATGTATGTATGTATGTATGTATGTATGTATGTATGTATGTATGTATGTGTGTGTGTATGTATGTATGTGTGTGTGCGGTGTGTGTGCGTATGTGTGCATATGTGCGTATGTGTGTGCATGTATGAGTGCCATTGCTGCTGCGTAGTTTGAACGGTACCCTTGGGTACCAAGCATAAACACACACACGCTCTCTCTCTCTCTCTCTCAACACACACACACACATTCACACACACATTCACATTCACACACACATTCACACACAACACACACACACAACACACACACACAACTTCGCTTACACGTGTACAGGCTGGCGAGTTTGATTTGCATGTGCGCCGAAGAGGGACCACATACAAGGTCTCATGCGCAGCACTGGGAGCAACAATCAGCGTTGAAGGCACACAGACGAGCGTGGAGATTGAGGACACAGGCCGCTACCACGATGACAGTGTTGGGGAAGAGGAAGGCAAAGGCGAGGACGTGAAGGACGTAAAAGCGGAGGTGACTGATGAACGCGGTGAGCCAACAGCGGGCCCCGCCACCATAGCTATGAAAACAGAGGACGATGAAGAGGAGCACGAGCAGCAGCAGCAGCAGCAGCAGCAGCAGGATAAACCACAAACAAGTGAGCAACGAGGAGATACGCCGCTGAAACAGGAACAAATCAGCAGTAGCAGCATCAGCAGCAGCAGCGCGAGCAAGCCTAAGAAACAAGACCCCGCTGTCGTTCTTGACCACATTCTCTCCCTTGCCAGCGAAATGACTGCTTCCGCATGATATGCGCGTGTGTATGATGTGTGTGTGTGTATGATGTGTGTGTGTGTGTGTCGTGTCGTGTGTGTTTCAGCGTGTGTCTGTCGTGTGTGGGGGTGTGTGAGTGTGTGTGCGTGTGTGTGTGTGTGACCACAAGCCAGCCTTTGCCACTGCCTCGCTTTGTCGAATGTTAAATGAAGATATGCATAAATTTCTTGACCGTTCACTTCCCGCCTCCACAACAAACACGACTTCCAGCGCCACAAGCACTGGCGATGGGTGAGGGCTCACTGTCCATGTTGTTGCGCTCACTCGTCTGTCCTTTGCGTGCGCTCTCAGTCCCTCAACTCACCTGCGCTCACTTGCTCACATGCACACATGCACACCTACTCACTTTCACCCAAACCACATGCACATTCACTCACACATTCCCACATCCATACAGATCCGTTGCAGGCGTTTCTGCGCGAAGGGCGCGCGGGCGAAGACAGCGACCACGAGGAGGAAAACGAGTCTGGCAGCGACTTTGACCTCTCCCCCACACAACCCAACAGCAGCCGTCGCAGCGAAGACAACAACAATGAAGCAGATGCTGGCGATTACGAGGACGACTTCGAAGAGGACATCCCGGAGGAAGTATCGCAAGATTTTTCCGACGATGGCGACGACGACGAGTTTGAGGAGGCGCAGAGCCGCTCAGACCTCTCCTTCGGCAGCGACGACAACAACGGTGATACCGCTGCCGCTGTCTTTGGCGCCACCCGTGTGGGCGATGATGATGCAGACCGCTCCGACCTGATGCTCTCCGGTGACGAGGGAGGCGACAACGATTTCGATTTTGACGCACGGGATGCTGCTGACGCCGAAAGCGATAACGACGAGCGCTTCTATGACGCTGGCGATGTCACGCGCGGCTACGAGGACACGGCAATGATGGAGCACGATACCACCGCCCGCGCCAGCGCGCATGACGAATGGGGCGCTGATGTTGGCCGGGGCGTCAATGTCACCCGCATGCACCCGGACGAGACGCGGCTGGAGTATCCCCACGCGGACCAGGCCCTGCCGTCCATTGAGGTGACGCAGGCGGAACACGAAGACCTGGCCAGTGCAAAGAGCCCAGCCAGGAGCCCAGGCACAGCTGTGGCTGCAAGCAGTGCACAGAAGCGCGCAACCACGTCCGACTTTCCTCGCACAGGCAAGAATGCCCGAGCAACGAAGGCAACAAAACCTGCTGCAGCTGCTGCTCGCAGTGGCGCTGGCAGAGGAAAGAACGCGTCAACAGCGGCATCGGCAACGTCAGCGACTGGAGCTCGGGCCCGCGCAGTCACGAGCGCAAACAAGAAGAAAAGGACGAAGAAGCCGGCAACAACAGCAGCATCAAGGGGCGGAAACACCCGCACGCCCACCACACGTGGTCGTGTGAGTCTCATGCAACGACAGCGCGACTTTGGCCAAACCCACGCGCGCCCACGCCGTAACGACCAACCCTCGTTCCTCGGCAAGACACAGTCCCTCAGCAGCACCCAAGACGTCCTGGCATCGCTTGGTGTCACCAAGTACAAACAGCACGCCCTCAACAAGCAGCTGCGTCGCCCAACCAACACATCCACCCGTGGTCGCGGCGGTCGTGACCGTGGTGGTGACCGTGGTGGTGACCGTGGTGGTGGGACTGTGACATCCACCCCAAGCAAGATGCAGCGGAGTGTTGGCCGTGGTGCGGGCACACGCACGATGGATACGGGCGGTGCCAGTGGCGGTGACACCACCCGCGCTGATGAGTACGGCGACGCGGAGCCGCTTGAGCAGCAGCACTTCATCGCGACACCAGCAGCGCACGACGTGATGGCCAGGCGGAGGCGACAGCACGCCATGCAGACACCACCATCGCAGGCAACAGGCACCATGCACCTGCGTGGTACCGGCCCCACCAGCCCGCACCCTCCAGGCACGCACACAACAGACTTGCGGATGGGCAAGATGACAGGCCCCCTGTCCAGCCCGGAGAAGTGGCTGAAGGCGACGACGGTGCTTGACTACTTTTTGGCAACAACAGCACAGGTGGACCCGCACGGCGGCGGTGTGAACCTTGTGGAGGAACCTTCCAGTGGGTTGGGTACACTGGAGGGCGAGGGCGGCCTGGAAGGACTCAAATCCCTGCGCGATTTTGCCGAGCAACTCAACCTGGGCCAGGCGCCTAGCGTCTACTTTAAGTGGGTGACGTTTCTGGAGGCCATCATGTCACGCGACAAGCTGCGTGTGATGGACATTCTGAGACGGCTCGACCAGAATGGCAGCGGATTTGTGACGCGACAAGAGATGCATGAGGGGCTGTGTAAGCTTGGCGGCGACTTTACACCAGAGGATGTGCATGTGCTCATGAACTTTCTTGACGTCGACGGCAAGAACCAGCTCGGTGCGTTGTGCGTGCGTGCATGCGTGCATGCGTGTGTGTGTGTGTGTGTGTGTGTGTGTGCGTGTGTGTGTGTGTGTGTGCGTGTGTGCGTGCGTGTGTGCTGCTGTGCATGAATATGTGCGGATTTATGTCAACGTGTTCATGTGTGTGTGTGTCAGCCTCTTCCTTCGTCTGCCTGTCCGTCACACTGCCTGTCCACGCATTTCGAGCCACCTTCTTCGCATATTGCGCCTAGATCCCCGAGTACGGTTCTCACACTTTATCCCCCTCCCTCTTTCAACACCCTCACAAACACCAACCCGTCAGACTTTGATGATCTTGCGCATCACCTGCGGTACCGTGCAAAGGCGCGACGTATCGTGGCTGCACACCCCTCCATCGTCCTCCCGCGCCGTCACGGCCGCACCACCACCGCCACCAACAATAACAACAACAACAACGACAACAACTACAACAACACCACCACTGCCAGCCACCATCCTGCCTCGAACGTGACGCAGTGGGACCGGAACGATGACTTGTCGTTCCGCGGTGCAGAGTACAACTCCATCCTCTCTGAAAACCGCACGCGGTTTGGTGATGGCGATAATGACGGCGACGTGTATGCCGACGATGCTGACGCAAGCTTCAACGGTGTGCGCGACCCTCGCCTCGCCCTCATGCGTCAGCACCAAAGACAACAACAACAACAGCAGCAGCAGCAGCAGCAGCGGTCACCGTACCGCTCAGCCAACACCTCTGCCCGTGGTGGCGGCAGCGGCATGCACCACGATGATGACGAGGCCATTGTCGCTGCCGCTCACGCCGAGTTTGAGCAAGCGGCAAACGCAGCTGCAGCGGACACGGCCAACGCATCGCGCCTGGCGGAGCGGGACGATGAGCTCGGTCGGCTGGCATCGTCGTTCCTCTCACGCGAGGGTGATGACCGGTTCACGGCGTCGCAGGTGCTGCGAGACCTGCAGACATCAGACGAGATGAGTGGGAGCGTCAATGCCACCCGGCTTGATGAAGACACTGACACTGCTGCTGCTGCTGCTGCTTCGCGCTCGCACGTTCGCTTTGAAGACGATGGCGAGGCCATTGGCGGCATCACTATCCCTGGTCGTGGCGGCGATCGCGGCAGCGGCGTGGGCGTACACCGCTCTCGCTCGGGCCTCTCTGGCGTGTCGCCGGGGTCGTCAACAGTGATGCTGACACGCGAGCAGCGTGAACAGATCCTGGATCAGCTGCAGCGCGACTTGGAGGAGCGGCGAGCAAGCAGTGACACCTTTGCTGGTCACAACACATCGTCATCACAGCAGCAGCAGCAGCAGCAGCAAGGCAGCGGGCAGGCGACCGCCAACACGAGCGGTGCTGTTGCTGGCGGTGTGGACAGCATGTTGTTGACACAGGCGCAGCTGCGGCTGACGCTTGCCGAGCAGGAGGCAGCCCACATCCGCACGATTGCCGAAGATGAGCGCCGTCGCATCATTGATGACGCGCGCAGCGAAGCGGACCGGATCGTGGCACACGCGCGGGAGCACGAGGAGCGAGACCGCGCTGACAGGGCCGAGCGGTCCATGGTGGAGAGCGATGCAAGTCGCGCACGCGCCGCCCTCGAGGCAGAGAAGATGCGCACGCAGGCAGAGGCCGACGCACACGCGGTCAAGCGACAGGCGCAGACAGAGGCGCAGCAGGTGCGGGACCGGGCGCGTGACGAAGCGGCAGCAATCACGGAGGAGGCGGAGCGAGCAGCCAAGGCGCTGAGGGACAAGGCACGGCGGGACGCAGAGCAGCGGCAGCAGGCGCAGGAGGAGGAGATGGAGGAGGCACGACGTGCACACCGCGCAAAGCTGGAGCAGGACGCAAGGCAGGCGCAGGAGCGCGCTGAGGAGGCGCTTGCACAGGCCAAGCGCGAAGCAGAACGCGTGCGCACGGCAGCAGAGCACGATGCGGACTTGGCCAAGCAGCTTGCAGCGACAGCCGCACAGAGGGCGGAGGACGAGGCTGAAGAGGTGCGATCGCGCGCAACACAGGAGGCACGCCAGGTGGTGCGTGACGCCCGCAGCGAAGCAGACAGCATCCGCACGCAGGCGGCCGAGGACGGTGCGCGGGATGCGGAGGCGCGCAGGCGGGCCCTGCAGGAGGAAGTGGATGCACTGCAGCGGGAGAAGACGCGTTTGCAAGAGGAGATTGCGCGGCTGAGAGCCGAGGCGGGCGAGGTGGAGGAGGACGTGCGACGGCGGCGACAGGACGCGCTGAGCAGGCTCGACGCCGAGCTTGACGAGCGCCGACAGGCGGCCGACGCGGACTTTGAGCGTAAGCGCAGTGCCCTTTGCGAGCTGGAGGAGGCGACGGAGCAGCGGCTGCAGGAGGCACGCGCGGCTGCGGAGCACGACGCGAGCGAGACGCGCAAGCAAGCGAAGGAGGACGCAGAGCGGACACGGCAGCAGGCGCGCGACCGCGCTGCTGAGGACGAGAAGGCGATGCGGGAAGAGATGGAAGCGCGTCGTCACGCCATGGAGGAGGACCTGCGGAAGCTTCAACAGCGGCTCGAAGACGACAGGCAGGCCGCGCTCGCAGACATGGAGGAAGCGTTGCAGCAGGAGCGCGCCAAGCACCAGAAGCGGCTGGCGGAGCAGCGGGAGCGTGACGAGGCGGCCATGCGGGAGGACCTGGCCCGTCTTCGCCAGCGCACCGAGGACGAGATTGCGCAACTCGAGAGCTCGTCCAAGCGGGCGCTTGCCCAGTCGGAGGCCGGGCGGGTTGCCGTGTCTGTGCATGAGGAGACGCGGGCAGCGCGCAGGGACAGGGACGCCGCTGTTCGCGCCAAGCAGGTGGCGGACGCGCGCGTTGCTGAGCTTGAGGATGTGGTGGAGGACCTGAAGCAGGACCACGACCGCCTGGCCGGCGCCCTCCGCCGCACGGAGCAGCAGCTTGAAGAGGAGCAGGGCGCGGTGCAGCAGGCGCAGTTGGCGGCAGAGCAGGCGGAGCGGCGGTACAGGCAGCTGGAGGAGGCATACGAGCGACTGCAGCTGTCACTGAGCGAGCAAGAGCAACAAGCGCGCATTGACGCTGAGCGCTACCGACAGGACAGCGCGGAGGTGGAGCGGCTGGAGATTGAACTGCAACAGGCACGCCGCAACGCATCCCTGTACGAGGAAGCAGCCAAGGACTTGGAGCTGCAGCTGCAGGAGGCGCGTGCGCTGCTGCAGTCGGACCAGACACGACTGACGGCTGACCAGGAGGTGGAGGCACAGTTGCAGGCTGAGCTTGCCAACCTCACGCGCACCAACACGGCGCTCAAGCAGAAGGCGATTGGCCTTGAGGAGCGTGTGGAGGGCCTGCAAGCGGAGGTGGCGGACCGCGAGCGCGAAATCTCGCAGGCGCACGAGGCGACAGCTGCCCGGGAGCGGGACATGCGCGAGCTCGAGAAGAAGGTGCGCCGGCTTGGGGAAGAGATTGCACAGGCGCAGCAGGCGCTTGCACGCGCTGAGGGCCAGGCGCAGGTGAAGGAGGAGGCCCACCAGCGCGCGCTTGCGCGCCAGGAGACACTGGAGCACGAGCTGGCGGCGGCGCAGGGGAAGCTGACGGCCGAGAGCGGCAATTCCGCCCGCAGCGCGCAGCAGGTGAAGCGGTTGAAGAAGGAGCTTGAGGAGAGCCAGGCGCAACGCGAGGCAGAGCGGGCGCAGGCAAGGGAGGAGGCGGCGGCGGCGCAGGAGCGCGTGGCTGAGCTGCGGCAGAAGCTGACGGAGGCCGAGGACAGGTTGCAGGTGGTTGAACGCGCGCGAGACGATGCACTGGGCACGGTGAGCGATGACAAGCGCAGCCAGGCAGACCTGAGGCGAGAGATGCATGCACTGCAGGCGGAGTGCGTGGAGTGGCGCGAGCGAGCGCAGTCCCTGCAGCGAGAAGTGGACAGGCTGAACAAGCGACTTGGCAGTGCAGCAGGAGGTGATTTGGGTGGCAGCATGGCTCGCCTGCGCACCGGCACCGCCACTGCAACTGGGCTTGGTGGTGGTGGTGGTGGTGGTGGTGGTGGTGACGCCCACGCCGGGGACCGCCGACGTGCTGACGAGCTGTCCCGAGAGGTGGAGCGGCTGCGGCGGCGGGAGGAGGACTTGCTGGCAGAGAACAGGCGCATCGCCCGCGCGGAGAAGGAAGCGCGTGAGCGTGCGCAACTGAGTGAGCAGCAGCATGTCAAGGGCAACGTGTCGCACAAGGACACTGTTACGCGGCTGCACCGCGCTGAGGATGACGTGCACACGCTGCGGCAGGAGACAACGCAGCTTCGCCATCGTCTGGAGACGCGCACCTCTGAGCTGACGGCGGCCCATCGCACGATTGACGAGTTGCGGGAGAGCGTCCGCGTGCTGCGTCGAACAGCAGCAACGGCAGGGGCCAGAGTGGGCGGTGGTGGTGGAAACGTCACTGCTGGCAACAGGACGGCGACAGGCGGGCTGGGGAGCAGCAGCTTTGCTGGCGTGGATGAGTACGAGACGATTGCGCGGCTCACGGCGCAGCTGCACTCACACGAGGAGCACCTGGTGAAGGCGCGCGAGCAGCACGCGCAGGCGCTGACGAAGCTTGAAGAATTGGAGCAGGAGCACCTGGCAAAGGAGCGGCGGGTGCAAGAGCTGAATGACCGCATGCAGCAGCTTGTGCAGGAGGCAGAGGCATCGGCAAAGCGCGCACGGGACGAGCAACAGAAGGAACAGCAGCAGCAAGGGCTTGACGGTCAACAGCCGCGGGGGTCACAGGTGGACACGGAAGCGCTGTTGCGGCGGCTGGAGGAGATGGGGGCGTTGAAGGACACGCTGACACACGAGCTGCAGATGACGTACACATCGTACGAGCAGCTGCGGTCGATTGTTATGGAGCAGAAGGCGACGATGGAGGCGCTGCGGCAGCAGCTGCGGCAGAAGGAGGAGGATGTGAACTACGAACGTGCAAGAGGCGACAACTTGTTGCGTATGTGGGATACAACCGACACAACCCACCACCAACAACAGCAACAGCAGTTTGTGGGGGCGTCTTCGTCTTTGCACGGGCGCAGCGCGACTGGCGTGCAGCCTGAGGTGATTGACGAGTTGCAGCGACAATTGCGGGCGCTCCAGCGTGACAAACACATGTTGGAGGAGCAGCTGTCACAGATGCACGATGAGGCATCGACAACGCTTCGCAAGAAGACGGAGGAGCGTACCCTGCGGCGTGAACTCAGCCAGGAACGACGCATGCGGCAGCGCGCGGAGCAAGTGAACGATGAGCTTGGTGCTGTGGTGAACGCGCAGACACGCCGTTTCGTCGGTGGTCTCGACAGCGGCAGCGGTCGTACTGATGTGTCTGCAGTGGACGGTGGTAATGCTGGCAATGATACGATGCACGAGCCGACTTCAAGGCTTGGCCTTTCTGATTTGGACGTCGTCGTTGAGCACTGACGATGTTGTGTGTGTGTGTGTGTGTGTGTGTTTGTGTACGTGTGTGTGTGTGTGTGTGTGTGTGTGTGTGTGTGTGTGTTGTTGTGTGTGTGTGTGTGTGTGTGTACGTGTGTGTGTGTGTGTGTATACGTGTGTGTGTGTGTGTGTGTGTGCGCGCGCGTGTCTGTCTGTCTGCCTGTGTATATGTGTTTGTTTCATCAACAGGAGCGATTCAAGTGGTTTCCCTTTCCCGCCAAGCTTGGGCGGTTTTGGTTTTGCGTTTTCTTTGCGCGGCTTGCTTGTGTAAGAGAGGGACAAGAAGACAGCAGTACCCTCTCGCCCATCAAAAGTCTATGAGAAAAAAGAGGCGCGTGCGAACACACACACACACACATACACACACACTCGCACACACATGCACGCGTTTACATCGACAGCTGTAAGAAACAAAAGGAATCAAAAAAGAGAGACATCCGTGTCAGCAAAACACAAGCAACACACAAAGTCAGTCAACATGCCTTGAGCATGAACAGTGTGAAAACAATGGACGAGTGACACTCTTTGGGGAAATGTGATACATGATGGTGGTGGTGGTGGTGATGACTGGCAAACACAGACAAACCCATGCACGCAGAGAGAAAAAAAACTGTAAAACGATGTGAAGAAGACAGGACTGAAAAGAGCAGTGGGAAAAACGTGCAACGTTTGTTTGGGCACTACGCAGAGACGGCTGACTTGGCAAGAGACAACATGTCACATCGCATGCATGTCCATCAGAACCTAAAACAAAACACACGCTGTGCGTATGTGTCTATGCGCTTGTGAACACGCGATGACACCACACATACACATACGCACACGCACACACACATACACACACATACACACACATACAAATACACATACACACACATACACACACATACACACACATACACACACATACACACACATACACACACATACACACACGCAGCCGTTTAGGAGGCCTGGCGACATTTGGGGCAGGTGCAGTTGCCAAGGAAGGTGCACTGCTCATTGCCACTGCCGCCACTGCCACTGCCACTGCCGCCGCGCTGCTGCGGTTTCTTGAACTTGACCAGACGAAGCGGCTCCTGCGGCGTCTCCTGCAGGTGCGCCTTGGAGCGGGATGCACCGCCGCTGGCGCTGCTGCTGCTGCCGCGCTTGCTGCTGCCGGCACTCGTGCGCGAGCCGGTGGTGGCGGCGGGAACAGGGGTGGACGAGAACACGGAGAAGGACGACAGGTTGTCGGCGTCATCACCCATGCCAAACGAGTCAAACCCTTCCACCAGTTCCTCGTAGTCGCCACCGGTCGACTCAACCTGCAGCATGTGTTGCTGCCGCTCCACCTCCTGCAGGGCGCGGAACGCCGTTGCTTTGGACTGCGCTGCCTCTTGCTGGATCTTGGCCATGGCCTCCTCAAACGCGCGCTGCTGCTGCAACAGCGCCTCACGCTGCCGCTTCAACTGCGCCAGGCTCGCCTGCTGCGCCCGTCGCTTCTTCTCCGTCTCCTCCTCAATCTTCTGCTGCAGCTCGAGCTTCTCCTTGGCAACCCGCTCCTTCCACTCGCGCTCTTCGCGTTCACGGCGCGACTCCTGCGTCGCCAGAAACTCCTTAAACTCTTGTTCGCGCTGGCGTGCATCCTCCAACGCGCTCAGCAGCTCGGCCTCGCGCTGCTTGCGTTCTGCCTCACGGGATTGAAGCTCCTTCTCCTGTCGTTCGCGCTCCTTCTCCTCAAGTTCCTTGCGTTGCGCCTCGAGACGCTTGCGTTCGGCCTCCTCCCGCTCCCGCAGCTCTGTTTCTCGCTGCCTGCGTCGCTCTTCTTCCTCCCGCAGGCGCGTCAGCTTGTCCTCAAGCTCGCGCTCGTATCGCTCCCTCTCCAACTGCAGCATGCGCTGCATCTCCGCCTCCCTCAGCTGCTCCTCGCGCGCTGCAATTGCCTTGCGGCGTTCCTCGGCCTTCTTCTCCAGGGCAGCACGGCGCGCAGCGAGGTACCGGTCCCACTCGTCATCGTCCATGTCGCTGTCACGGTCAATCATGGTGACATCTAGTGCCTCCGCAGACACCTCTTCACCCCCCTTGCCGTCGGACGCTGCTGCGGACGACGACGAGGACGACAAGGAAGAGGCTGATGATTCGTTGGAGCCCCTTCGCTCCTTCTTTGTGTCGCCTCTGCTCGCGCTGCTGCTGCTGCCACCAGTGGCTGCTGTTGCTGTTGCTGAGGTGGTGGTGTGTGTGTGGTGTGTGGTGGTGGTTGCTGTGCTGCCATACGCATTGGTGGTGCTGCTGTTGTAGTTGCTGTTGCTGTTGCTGTTGCTGTTGTTGCTGCTGCGGTAAGCGGAAGAAGATGATGCCGTGTGGGCAGAGGAGGACGAGTTGACAGGCTGCGAGCTGAATTTCGAGGCAAGCGCACCCACGCTTGCGTTGGGGTTGCTCCTCACGTCGTTGTTGCTGTTGGCGCCGCTGAACCTGTCACTGGACGTGGTCTGGTCATCGCCAGAGTTCGTGGACACACCTGCCTTGCGATTGCGCAAGACGGAGAGCCAGTCGGGGGTGTTGCTGTTGGCTGTGAACCCGCCCGTGTCCGCGCGTGGCACATCCACTCCGCGCGCGGGCTGGAAGCGAGCGTTACCATTGCTGTTGCTGTTGCTGGTGGCGGTGCTGGTGTTGTTCCCTCCCCGTGTTCCGTTGCCGCTGCCTGTGCCGGTGGCGCTTGCTGTCTCTGACACCGGTGGGGACTTGAGTTGCTCCTCCTTCCACTTGAGGCGTTCTTCGTCCAGCTTGGCCAGCAGCTGCTCGCGTTCCTCCATGTGTTTGAGGCGCTCCTCCTCCATGAGCCGACGCTGCTTCTCCATGGCCGTTCGCTGGACGTCCATCTCCTTCTGCAGGGCGAGCATGTTGAACTGGTGTCGCTCCTCCAAGAGCTTCTTCATCTCCTCTTCGAGCTGCTTGCGTTCGCGGTTGATTTCGTCATACTGCCGCTGCATCTCTCTCGCCTCCTTCTTCCCCGGCCGCCGGAACAGCTGTCCGCGCTTCTTCTTGTCCAGGGCGGCCTGCTTGCGTGAGAGCACGAGCAGCCGACGCTTGAGCTCGCGGATGTGTTTGTTCAGCCGCTGCGCCTCCTCCACGGCCTCTGCATCTGAGATGAGGCCGCCGAGAACAATGGTGGACCCTTCTTCCTGCAGGGCATCCAGCTCAGCCAGGTCGTCGTTGTTGTTGTCGTCGTCCTCGTCATACTCGTCATCATCCGGGTGGTTGCTGTACCCGCCCTCGGTCGTGTCATCATCCTCGCTCGTGCTGGTGGTGAGGCCCCCGCCACGCTTCTTCTTCAGGCGTGCACGCCGCTTTCGCTCAATGAGCTTCAGTTCAAGCTTCATCTGCTCCTTCTTTGCCCGCATCAGCTCCAACTCCTGCTGAAGGATTGCAGACTCCTTGATCGCCTGCGGATCAGACAAAATGTCCTCCAGCGCGTTTGGCCGCGACCCACGCGCCCGCCCACCGCGCGCTGCGTGTATGTATGTGTGTGTATGTGTGTGTGTGTGTGTGTGTGTGTGTGTGTGCGTGCGTGCGTGTGTGTGTGTGTGTGTGTGTGTGTGTGTGTGTGTGTGTGTGTGTGTGTGTGTGTGTGTGTGTGTGTGTGTAAAAAAAAAAGAAAAGCGTGCAAAAAAGCGAATGTGAGCGCGAGAACAATCGCACCCCTGGCAGACACACACACAGACTCACTCGCTCACTCACTCACGCCCTGCACGTACAGAGCGGGGTGACGAAACTGCCGCGGGCCGGCCCGCGTGTGGGCTGCTGGCGCTCTTGTGGCGATTCAGGCACCGCAGACAGCTGTACAAGGAGGAACGTGAAAAACGAGGAAGGGTGTTGTTGAGGTCTCACGCACGCATGTACACAAATGTGCATGGGTGGGTGTGGGGGAGTGGGATGTAAACAAGTGCTCACATCTCACGCACACACGCACACGCACACGCACACGCACACGCACAGAGATGCAAGCGACACTCGTGAACTTACCCGCTGTTGCTGCTGGTGGTGTCTGTTGCGTGGATACGGCTCAATCTGGCCACGCATGTTGAGGACCCCCGAGATGGAGTCGCCTGGCTGGGCAATGGGCACGCCGCCGCGAGAATTGGCGGGAACATTGCCGCCCACGTGCGACATGACGTGTTGCAGCGAACCCGGGTCACCGCCGCTCCGCACGTGCTGTCGTCACATGTGTGTGTGTGTGTGTGTGTGTGTGTGTGTGTGTGTGTGTGTGTGTGTGTGTGTGTGAAAGAGAGGGGGGAGATGGGAGTGTAGTTCTAGCGACACGACACTGTGAAGAACAAACAGTTTACAGCACAAGAGATGCATGACTGCATCGTGTGGAATGACACTGCCGAAAAAAGTGCCTTTACACGCGTACGCACACATGACCATAACAGTATCGGACCACTCACGCTGATGGCAACCTCCAGGGCCTCGACGCGCGCCTGCTGCACGGCGTATCGCTTGCGAAGCAGCTCAAACTGGGCCTGCAGTATGTGTGTGTGTGTGTTGCGTGTGGGTGTGTGGGTGTGTGCTACGCACCTGACGGAGGTTCATTTTTTTTTTTCTTTTAGGTCGTTATAGGTGATATCTTTTTCCGTGCGTCTCTTGGTATCGTTCAGGGCGATGTGCCGGCATCATTCTGTCGACTACGTCGTAGCTCTCTTGTTTTTTTTTTTTTTTTGTGTTGCATCCGAGGTCTACGCTGATTTATAGCGTATGCGACCAGTTACCTTCATACATTTATCCTTTTTTTTTTTTTTATCAGTTCACTCCAGGCTAACCTAATTCTGTAAC